TTAACTTATGTCTAGTAGCGCTTTTCATTTAGGAGACGTCATACTTGATCATCTTTTGAAATGGAATTAATGACGAACGGTACCAAATAAGTCAGCGACCATTTTCTAATTGACCCCATTTCACCAATAGGTGTGCACCCCACTTGTCAAACTTGCAAATATATTACGCCTATCAAACTGAATTAATTGCTTTAACCCCGTCACTTCGATTCCGTAAACAGAAAGGACATAAAATTAAAAGAAAAGCTTCTTCTTTTCTCACTCCTATAACTTTCCCTTGCATTTCCACCACGCTAGTGACAAAGAAGACCAGAGCGACCAACAAGGAAGCAAACTGGATACTACGTAGAATAAATTAGTTGAGCAAAGACATCAATTCAACATAACCCAAATAACCAAACACGGCAGAGAAGCATTGGAAGACAGCTGCTTCAGTCATGTATCCTTGTTTATTTGGCCTTTTCTTTTCGTATTTTTTGGCTGGCAAGATAAAATTGTAAATCCTACTTTTACAAACAGCAAGTGCGGCCGTTCTTGACGTCGTTCTTACAGCGATCTTGAAAAGTTTCTTCGCCGTTAGGTTTATCTCAACCGTCAACCCAATTTGCAGGAAAAAAATGGCGGAGGAAAATTTAGGAAGGGTCCCACTTGATTTGAGACACCCTTGCTTGTAAGCCACCCCTCCCCCCTCCCCCCATTATCCGTATTAGTTTAAATAACCGCCCTACTTCGTTCTCAAGAGAAAGGAAAAGAGCAATAGAGTGAGAGAGCCTTGGAACTTGGATGAAACGCTGCATCTTTATCCCTCATGTTATAGAGCTACTTGGCGGAAAAGGAAAAAAAAATAACTTCAATTAATTAGTAAAAAGCTACCGAATATAACCTTTCAGAGGTTCATTTGTCTGTAAAAATTTCTTCTTCCTGCCGACTAAAATTCCCCGGGAAAAATTGCAGACAAATATATGGAAAATCTAAAGCAAGCACCTAGAGACAGTTAAGCACAGTTAAGTTCCGCGAAATTTGTTAGTAAAATCCTTTGCTGTGTAGCTTTAGTTTACAATTCATATTTTTTTCAAAAGAGCCGTTTTACGGAAATTATCCGTCATTAGATTCTCATACAAACACTGCAATTTCTCACGCGGTTGCCTAACTCGTCAAGATGGCTTCCAAACCCATGACAAGGTTCATTTTGCAACTACTTGCTTGTGTTTACTGTTGCGTTGTTTTCTCTTTATCGATTCTTTTATTTTGCATGGTCTAATTGTTGTTGACAGAGATAAAATGTCAAAAAAACTATTACCGAGTACAGGCAAGATATGCTCTTCAACCCTTATTCGCCGTGAAGCCCTGGGGACGAGCTCAGCCCAAGTAGTAAAAAATGGCTGAAAATTTCACACTATTTGCCATCGAAGAAAAAATTGCCGTACAAATGCCTAAAAACATAGCTAGAAGAACAAAAATGCAACGCGACGAATGAAAACTTCTGTTTAAAGAATATCTGGTAGACTAATAACTCGACGTCTTAATAATTTTCATACAGGCACATATTAGCATAGACCATGATAATTTGTTTAGTTAATTGCTACGTTTTACCTAACTTAACTCACAGCTGTACCTGCTGAAATTACAATTGCAGCTTTGGCGTCATTATTAGAAGCTGTTATAGACATATTTATTAATTTTTTTCATTTCATTTCACAGTCATATTATTTGTTTCGCCAAACCATAGCAGATCGTGACAATACCGAATTTCAATTAGATATAGGGTGAAAAGTAAGTAAGAAATAATTTAACAAAGGAAAGAAAACGTGCAATACGAAATTAAAGCACTTACATGTAAGTTAAATCACATTGTTTATACTAAGAAGGAGAGGAGAAAAGCACGTCCTCTTAAAGTTACGTATAACAAAAAACTTGTAATTTTTAATAAAAAAGGTAATTATTCCTCGGTCAACGTTTAAGTTTTACTGTTTGACTCTTTAGGAGTTTTATTTATTTTCGGCTTAAGGAAGTCCTGCCTGTTGTTTTAAGATTCAAATACTGGGTTTGATGGAAGATCATCGTAGTGGTCGCGAAAAAAGCAGGGACCGAAAACTGCATTTCTTGCAAATTTTCCTTGGCCACTAGTTTTTTGTTTGTTTCTTCCACTTTCTAGCTACTTTCTTGGCAGCATTATCTGCCCCTGAGTAAGCTATTGAGGAGCAATCTGCTTGTAGGATCTGTAGCTATCCTTGGTCTTTCCTGAAGGCAAAATCGGAAATGAACTTCGCTGAAATCGATATATCAATCAATTTCAGTGATAACCGAAACTTAAGTTTTCTCCATCTGTTTTACATAACATGTTACGTAGTTTCTTCAACTGCCTCGATTTCGGATTTTTTAGCGGCAGTATCTGCTCCTGAGTGTCTCAAGTGAATCGTTGATCTTAACATAAAATCGCATATGAACCACCAATTTCATTGATCACCGTTATCTAAGTTTTCAAAATCTGTTTTACATAACCTTTTTCGCACTATCTTCAAAACTGCTTCCCGGACTTCCCGATTACGCCAAAAATACAAGAATGGATTTATAGCAGAGTTCATGAACAGAATAGCGCCGGCAAAATGCCATCTGATGTTCCAATGTTCTTCATAAGTCACCCGAATTAGGGCGGAGACAGCCGCTGGTAAATAACAAAGAACCATACAAATGTAATATATAAATGTGTTTGCAGCGTGTTCCTTCGCTTGTATCTTGAGATTTTGTTCCGCGTTCATACTCTGTACGGCTTGCTGTTGGGCGTGAATCTGATGTTGATGGTGTCGAACGATTCGATAAATTTCATTGTAAGTAATTGAAGAAATGAAAATACATAAGGCAACAAAGACAAGTGCAACAAGAAAAATACTATTTTTCTTCCAAATGCTAAGCAGTGATAAAATGACGTTTTTACACCAAAATGTTGCTGCTACACAGGTTGCACGTCTAGAGGTCATCATGTTCGGATATCGCATGTGATATCATAGGGCCAAATATCGATCCACGCTAATGGCTGTCATTGTTTCAAGGGAAACACAGCAGAGTTGAATAATGAGGAAGATCCTTGCTTGTGGCAGACGTGACTGAGAACTGACACGAGAAAGCGGTGTAAGGGCGATGGCAATGTTAATTGGAAGAGCAAGAAACCCAACTAAAAGATCAGAAACAGCAAGACTGCACAGCAAAATGGTAGACGGAGTGCGTAGGGAAGGATTTCTCCATACGGCGGCTAGTACCAAAACATTGCCAGCGATGCATATTGGTATCAGTAGAGCATTGAGGACGCTATTTATGATTACAGAGGTCTCGAAAGGTGAGGATTCTTCGTCACTCTCCAACCCATGAAGCGTCATATCGACAGTAGAGTTTGCCATCTTAAAATTTTCAATATTGTACCCTGTTTGTCTTCAAAGAGAAACTGCATATTATTTTTTATACTCTTTCACCTGGCTTCTTATTAAAATTACAACCACCTTGCCAGCATTTAATTCTTTAACTTATGTCTAATAGGGCTTTTGGAATTAGTGATGAACGGTACTAATTAAGTGAGCGCGCATTCTCTAATTTACCCCATTTCACTAATAGATGTGCACCCCACTTGGTCAAACTTGCAAATATATTACGCCTATCAAATAAAGCTAAATAATTAATTGCTTTAACGCCGTCGCTGCGATTCCGTAAACACCCTCGTACCCAGCGTCTTCGTTCCCCTTGACCAGCGGTTGGGAAACAGCTAGTCTCGTCAAGCCAGCATGCGCAGTAAGGGACGAAGACTCGAGGTTCGAGATTGTTCCGTAAACAGAAAGGACATAAAATGAAAAGAAAAGCTTCTTCTTTTCCCACTCACCTATAAGTTTCCCTTGCATTTCGAACACACTAGTGACAAAGAAGACCAGAGTGACCAACAAGGAAGCAAGCCGCTGATACTATGTAGAATAAATTAGTTTGGCAAACACAAATAACCCAACACAGCAGGGAAGCATTAAAAGACAGCTGCTTCAGTCATGCATCCTTGTTTATTTGGCCTTTTCTTTTCGTATTTTTTGGCTGACAAGATAAAATTGGAAATCCTACTTTTACAAACAGCAAGTCTGGCCGTTCTTGACGTCGTTCTTATAGCGATCTTGAAAAGTTTCTTCGCCGTTAGGTTCATCTCAACCGTCAACCCAATTTGTAGAACAAAAAATTGGCGGAGGAAAATTTAGGAAGGGTCCCACTTGATTTGAGACACCCCTGCTTGTAAGCCACCACCCCACCTCCCCCATCCGCATTAGTTTAAATAAGCGCCCAACCTCGTTCTCAAGAGAAAGGAAAAGAGCAATAGAGTGAGAGAGCCTGGGAACTTGGATTAAATGCTGCATCTTTATCCCTCATATCATAGAGCTACTTGGCGGAAAAGGAAAAAAAAATAACTTCAATTAATTAGTAAAAAGCTACCGAATATAACCTTTCAGAGGTTCATTTGTCTGTAAAAATTTCTTCTTCCTGCCGACTAAAATTTCCCGGGAAAAATTGCAGACAAATATATGGAAAATCTAACGCAAGCGCCTGGAGAAATTTAAGCACAGTTAAGTTCCGCGAAATTTGTTAGTAAAATCCTTTGCTGTGTAGCTTTAGTTTACAATTCATATTTTTTTCAGAACAGCCGTTTTACGGAAATTATCCTTCATTAGATTCTCATACAAACACTGCAATTTCTCACGCGGTTGCCTAACTCGTCAAGATGGCTTCCAAAACCATGACAAGGTCTATTTTGCAACTTATTGCTTGTGTTTACTGTTAGGTTGTTTTGTCTTTATCGATTCTTTTATTTTGCACGGTCTAATTGTTGGTGACAGAGGTAAAATGTCAAAAAAACTATTCCTGAGTACAGGCAAAATTTGCTCTTCAACCCTTATTCGCCGTGAAGCCCTGGGGACGAGCTCAGCCTAAGGTAGTAAAAAATGGCGGAAAGTTCACACTATTTGCCATCGAAGAAAAAATTGCCGTACAAATGCCTAAAAACATGCCTAGAAAAGCAAAAATACAACTCGATGAATGACAGCTGCTATTTAAAGAATATTTGGTAGACTAATCATCCCGTAAATACAAGGTAAATCGACGTCTTAATAATTTTCATACAGGCACATATAATTCAGATAGTTCATTTTTAGCATAGACCATGAGAATTTGTTTAGTTAATTGCTACGTTTTACCTAACTTAACTCACAGCTGTACCTGCTGAAATTACAATTGCAGCGTTGCTGTCATTATTCGAAGCTGTTACATGCATAATTTTTAATTTTTTTCATTTCATTTCACAGTCATATTATTTGTTTCGCCAAACCACAACAGATGGTAATGATACTGAATTTCAATTAGATATAGGGTGAAAAGTAAGTAAGAAATAATTTAACAAAGGAAAGAAAACGTACGATACAAAATTAAAGCTCCTACATACAAGTTAAATCACATTGTATATACTAAGAAGGAGAGGAGAAAGGCACGTCCTCTTAAAGTTACGTATGACAAAAAACTTGCAATTTTTAATTAAAAAAATAATTATTCCTCGGTCAAATAACGTTTAAGTTTTACTGTTTGACTCTTTAGGAGTTTTGTTTGTTTTCGGCTTAAGGAAGTCCTGCCTATTGGCCACTAGTTTTTTCTTTGTTTCTTCCACTTTCTAGCTACTTTCTTTGCAGCATTATCTGCCCCTGAGTAAGCTATTGAGGAGCAATCCAATGGAAGTAGCAGACCAGATTACACCGCGAAAATTTAGCCTCTGCTCGTACGATCTGTAGCTATCCTTGGTCTTTCCTGAAGGCAAAAACGCAAGTGAACTTCGCTGAAAATATCAATGTATCAACCAATTTTAGTGATAACCGAAACTTAAGTTTTCCCCATCTGTTTTACATAACATGTTATGTAGTTTCTTCAACTGCCTCGATCTTGGATTTTTTGGCGGCAGTATCTGCCCCTGAGTGTCCGTCAAGTGAATCCTTGATCTTAAAATAAAAATGCAAATGAACCACAAATACTATTTCATTGATCACCGTTATCTAAGTTTTCCTCATCTATTTTACATAACCTTTTGCGTACTACTTTCAAAACTGCTTCCCAGACTTCCTGATTACGCCAAAAATACAAGAACGGATTTATAGCGGAGTTTATGAACAGAATAGTGTCAGCAAAATACCATCTGATGTTCCAATGTTCTTTACAAGTCACCCAAATCAGGGCGCCGACAGCCGCCGGAAAATAACAAAGAACCGTACAAATGTAATATATAAATGTGTTTGCAGTGCGTTTCTTCGCTTGTATCTTGAGATTTTGTTCAGCCTTCATACTCTTTACAGCTTGCTGTTGGGCATGAATCTGATGTTGATGGTGTCGAACAATTTGATAAACTGCATTGTAAGTGATTAAAGAAATGGAAAGTCATAAGGCAACAAAGACAATATTGCAACACTATGAATAGTATTTTTCTTCCAAATGCTAAGCAGTGATAAAATGATGTTTTTGCACCAAAATGTTGCTGCTACACAGGTTGCACATGTAGAGGTCATCAAGTTCGGATATCGCATGTGATAACGGAGGGCCAAATATCAGTCGATGCTAATTGCTGTCATTGTTTCAAGGGAAACACAGCAGAGTTGAATAATGAGGAAGATTCTTGCTTGTGACAGACGCGACTAAGAACTGACCCGAGAAAGCAGTGTAAGGCGATGGCAATGTCAAGTGGAAGAGCAAGAAACCCAACAAAAGGATCAGAAACAGCAAGACTGCAGAGCAAAATGACGGAGTGGGTAGGGAAGGATTTCTCCATATGCCGGCTAATACCAAAACATTGCCAGCGATGCATATTGGTATCAGTAGAGCATTGAGGACACTATTCGGTATGATTACAGAGGTCTCGAGAGGTGAGGATTCTTTGTCACTCTCCAACCCACCAAGCATCATATCAACAGTAGAGTTTGCCATCTCAAATTTTTCAATTTTGTCCCCTGTTTCTCTTCAAAGAAAAACTGCATATTATTTTTTATACTCTTTCATCTGGCATCATATTAAAATTTCAACCATCTTGCCAGCATTTAATTCTTTAACTTATGTCTAATAGGTCTTTTCATTTAGTAGAAGTTATACTTGATCATCTTTTAAAATGGAATTAATGATGAATGGTACCAATTGAATCAGTGCCCATTTTCTAATTGACCCCATTTCACCAATGGGTATGCACCCCACTTTGTCAAACTTGCAAATATATCATGCCTATCAAATAATTAATTGCTTTAACTTCGGTCACTTGATTTTGGAAACAGAAAGGACATAAAATTAAAAGAAAAGCTTCTTCTCTTCCCACTCCTATAATTTTCCATTGCATTTCGACCACACTAGTGACAAAGAAGACCAGAGTGACCAACAAGGAAGCAGGCCTGATACTATGGAGAATAATTATTAGTTTAGCAAAGACATCAATTCAACATAACACAAATAACCCCACACAGCAGGAAAGTATTGGAAGACAGCTGCTTCAGTCATTCATCCCTGTTTATTTGGCCTTTTCTTTTCATATTTTTGGCTGACAAGATAGAATTGTAAATCCTACTTTCACAAAGAGCAAGTCAGATAGCTGGCCGTTCTTGATGTTGTACTTATAGCGATCTTGAAAAGTTTCTTCACCATTAGGTTTATATGTTTATATGCGAATGTTTTGTCTCTCTCTGTAAGACCTAAGTGGTGGTGTGCCTGCGCCATATTTTTTGTCCATCCTTTTTTCTCTGCTGCATTGGTCTTTTGAAGAACTTGGGGTGGGATCAAGCGTATGGAACAAACACGCCATTTACATACAAATTTATTAAGGTCTTCACCCCATCAGTTGAAATGAGCATGATCAACCTTTCATTCCCTTTCATTACCGTGGGGATTTGTAATATAGTTCTTAATTTTAGTGAGTCTGTGAAAGAAATCCTTTGGTGTTACCATTCAATTTAAACCTCTTAAGCATTATTTTTATATAGTACTATTTATTTAGTATATAGTCATAACTTTTCAGTCTGTGGGTGAAATCCTATGGTGTTACCATTCAAATGAAACCTCTTCGCAGTACATGGTATCTTTTTGTTTTCAGTATATTATAAAATTAAACGTGGGAAATTTATTAGATTTTTATGTTGGCCCTATCGGGGCGGATGAGTTAAATTTGGCAGGTAAAATGTATGTTCTAAAAAGTTGATATTTATTTTATTCATATTGTTCTTTCTAAGGTACTGCAACAGATGCAAGAAGCACAGACTAGCGGTGAAGAAGCTGGACATATGGAGGCTACCACCCATCTTAGTGAGTAACAGTATTGCTGATAAAGCACACTGTAAATATCTTGCAAAAAAGCAGTTATCTTGAAATCAAAACTGTTATTATGTCAGTCATCTTACAAACGAGAACAAAGAGTTTGACCCATTCAACCTTACCAAGTTCCGTTTGCTTACAGTACGCTGAGTTTCATTTCATAATGGGTCAAGAAATCTGGACTGTTATCCATGATTGTATTATTTTATAGTGTCAGTGGCAAAATTCAATATGTTACATGCACCATGCCTCTTTGCACTCTGTTACTGTGTTGGCTTCCACACTTGCCTTCCTGCTAGCTTAAAAAGTGTGTCTGGTTTCAGTAATGGTATTTTTGACGGGGATGGGACATCATTCCATCACCAAACCCCCAACCTGGAGAGCCAGGTGTTGTAATACTTTACGTTCACCTCGCCACCAAAGAAATTGTTACCAAGAAGTCTACTCTCCACCACATAGTAACTCTGCAATAATTGACACTGTTTACTTACTGGAATTGTCACTTCTTCCTCAAGCCCAAATATAAGTCTATCAATTTTAATTGACACCTTGCGTCGAACTTCTCATCTTTAGTTTAATTTTTTGTGAAGAATTGCGACTTTTTTTAATTCCTTAATACGGCTTATTTGCATCGCTGGAGAGGTGCGATTTGTTTAAAATCCAACAGCCTTTCTTATGAAAGCTGGTTAATATTGTCACTTGAACCACACCTCCTTAAATTTCATTGTAAATTTAAGGTGAAAGAATTCTTTTTAGAGACCTTCTCCTCGTGGCGATTTCATTCGTGGCGAGATAGTTTGGTAGCTAGGTGACCGGATACCGTTGCAATAGACGATATTCGTATTCCCCGACGGCACTGGTACGAGAGACTTCACAGCATGATTGCGAGGCTAAAGCGGGGAACTTTTTGGCAAAAACACAAACAAACATTGGTTAGTCGCGGCTGAATCGCTGCAAAACGATAGAAATCATCAAAAAACTGCAAGATTTAAAAGCTGAAACCTTACAGGTAAGCTAAAGGGATATCTGTTTCAAAAAACAAAACTTCGGGAAGAGCTGGTCGTCCTAACAGCAAAATTTAAAAAGCCACGAAACCAAAAGAAGAAACAAGAAGTAATCAAGAAAATGGTATATTGTGTCAAAATATCAATACTCGAATCCTTTTTATATAATGTTTGACTCTCTAGGAGTTTTGTTTGTTTTCGGCTTAAGGAAGTCCTGCCTATTGGCCACTAGTTTTTTCTTTGTTTCTTCCACTTTCTAGCTACTTTCTTTGCAGCATTATCTGCCCCTGAGTAAGCTATTGAGGAGCAATCCAATGGAAGTAGCAGACCAGATTACACCGCGAAAATTTAGCCTCTGCTCGTATGATCTGTAGCTATCCTTGGTCTTTCCTGAAGGCAAAAACGCAAGTGAACTTCGCTCAAAATATCGATGTATCAACCAATTTTAGTGATAACCGAAACTTAAGTTTTCCCCATCTGTTTTACATAACATGTTATGTAGTTTCTTCAACTGCCTCGATCTTGGATTTTTTGGCGGCAGTATCTGCCCCTGAGTGTCCGTCAAGTGAATCCTTGATCTTAAAATAAAAATGCAAATGAACCACAAATACTATTTCATTGATCACCGTTATCTAAGTTTTCCTCATCTATTTTGCATAACCTTTTGCGTACTACTTTCAAAACTGCTTCCCAGACTTCCCGATTACGCCAAAAATACAAGAACGGATTTATAGCGGAGTTCATGAACAGAATAGTGTCAGCAAAATACCATCTGATGTTCCAATGTTCTTTACAAGTCACCCAAATCAGGGCGCCGACAGCCGCCGGAAAATAACAAAGAACCGTACAAATGTAATATATAAATGTGTTTGCAGTGCGTTTCTTCGCTTGTATCTTGAGATTTTGTTCAGCCTTCATACTCTTTACAGCTTGCTGTTGGGCATGAATCTGATGTTGATGGTGTCGAACAATTTGATAAACTGCATTGTAAGTGATTAAAGAAATGGAAAGTCATAAGGCAACAAAGACAATATTGCAACACTATGAATAGTATTTTTCTTCCAAATGCTAAGCAGTGATAAAATGATGTTTTTGCACCAAAATGTTGCTGCTACACAGGTTGCACATGTAGAGGTCATCAAGTTCGGATATCGCATGTGATAATGGAGGGCCAAATATCAGTCGATGCTAATTGCTGTCATTGTTTCAAGGGAAACACAGCAGAGTTGAATAATGAGGAAGATTCTTGCTTGTGACAGACGCGACTAAGAACTGACCCGAGAAAGCAGTGTAAGGGCGATGGCAATGTCAAGTGGAAGAGCAAGAAACCCAACAAAAGGATCAGAAACAGCAAGACTGCAGAGCAAAATGACGGAGTGGGTAGGGAAGGATTTCTCCATATGCCGGCTAATACCAAAACATTGCCAGCGATGCATATTGGTATCAGTAGAGCATTGAGGACACTATTCGGTATGATTACAGAGGTCTCGAGAGGTGAGGATTCTTTGTCACTCTCCAACCCACCAAGCATCATATCAACAGTAGAGTTTGCCATCTCAAATTTTTCAATTTTGTCCCCTGTTTCTCTTCAAAGAAAAACTGCATATTATTTTTTATACTCTTTCATCTGGCATCATATTAAAATTTCAACCATCTTGCCAGCATTTAATTCTTTAACTTATGTCTAATAGGTCTTTTCATTTAGTAGAAGTTATACTTGATCATCTTTTAAAATGGAATTAATGATGAATGGTACCAATTGAATCAGTGCCCATTTTCTAATTGACTTTATTTCACCAATGGGTATGCACCCCACTTTGTCAAACTTGCAAATATATCATGCCTATCAAATAATTAATTGCTTTAACTCGGTCACTTCGATTTCGGAAACAGAAAGGACATAAAATTAAAAGAAAAGCTTCTTCTCTTCCCACTCCTATAATTTTCCATTGCATTTCGACCACACTAGTGACAAAGAAGACCAGAGTGACCAACAAGGAAGCAGGCCTGATACTATGGAGAATAATTATTAGTTTAGCAAAGACATCAATTCAACATAACACAAATAACCCCACACAGCAGGAAAGTATTGGAAGACAGCTGCTTCAGTCATTCATCCCTGTTTATTTGGCCTTTTCTTTTCATATTTTTTGGCTGACAAGATAGAATTGTAAATCCTACTTTCACAAACAGCAAGTCAGATAGCTGGCCGTTCTTGATGTTGTACTTATAGCGATCTTGAAAAGTTTCTTCACCATTAGGTTTATATGTTTATATGCGAATGTTTTGTCTCTCTCTGTAAGACCTAAGTGGTGGTGTGCCTGCGCCATATTTTTTGTCCATCCTTTTTTCTCTGCTGCATTGGTCTTTTGAAGAACTTGGGGTGGGATCAAACGTGCGGAGCAAACACGCCATTTACATACAAATTTATTAAGGTCTTCACCCCATCAGTTGAAATGAGCATGATCAACCTTTCATTCCCTTTCATTACCGTGGGGATTTGTAATATAGTTCTTAATTTTAGTGAGTCTGTGAAAGAAATCCTTTGGTGTTACCATTCAATTTAAACCTCTTAAGCATTATTTTTATATAGTACTATTTATTTAGTATATAGTCATAACTTTTCAGTCTGTGGGTGAAATCCTATGGTGTTACCATTCAAATGAAACCTCTTCGGCAGTACATGGTATCTTTTGTTTTTCAGTATATTATAAAATTAAACGTGGGAAATTTATTAGATTTTTATGTTGGCCCTATCGGGGCGGATGAGTTAAATTTGGCAGGTAAAATGTATGTTCTAAAAAGTTGATATTTATTTTATTCATATTGTTCTTTCTAAGGTACTGCAACAGATGCAAGAAGCACAGACTAGCGGTGAAGAAGCTGGACATATGGAGGCTACCACCCATCTTAGTGAGTAACAGTATTGCTGATAAAGCACACTGTAAATATCTTGCAAAAAAGCAGTTATCTTGAAATCAAAACTGTTATTATGTCAGTCATCTTACAAACGAGAACAAAGAGTTTGACCCATTCAACCTTACCAAGTTCCGTTTGCTTACAGTACGCTGAGTTTCACTTCATAATGGATCAAGAAATCTGGACTGTTGTCGTCCGTGACTGTATTATTTTATAGTGTCAGTGACAAAATTCAGTATGTTACATACACCATGCCTCTTTGCACTCTGTTACTCTGTTGGCCTCCACACTTGCCTGCCTGCAGGCCTGCCAACTTAAAAAGTGTGTCTGGTTTTAGTAATGGTATTTATTTACGGGGATGGGACATCATTCCATCACCAACCCCCCAAACCTGGAGAGCCAGATGTTGCGGCAATGGTTTATGGTCACCTCACCACTAAAAGATCTCGCCACCACATAATAACTCTGCAATAATCGACACTGTTTACTTACCTGGGATTGTTGCTTCTTCCTCAAGACCAAATATAATTCTATCGATTGTAATTGACACCTAGCGTCAAACTTGTCATATTAAGTTTTATTTTTTGTGAATTATTGCGACTTTTTAATACCTTAATACGGCTTATTTGCATCGCTCGAGAGGTGTGATTTGTTTAAAATCCAACAGCCTTTCTTATGAAAGTTGGTTAATATTGTCACTTGAACCTTACCTCCTTAAATTTCATTGCAAATTTAAAGTGAAAGAATTCTTTTTAGAGACTTGTCCTTGTGGCGATTACATTGGTGGTGAGATAGTCTGGTGGCTAGGTGACCGGATACCGTTGCAATAGACGATATTCGTATTCCCCGACGGCACTGGTACGAGAGACTTCACAGCATGATTGCGAGGCTAAAGCGGGGAACTTTTTGGCAAAAACACAAACAAACATTGGTTAGTCGCGGCTGAATCGCTGCAAAACGATAGAAATCATCAAAAAACTGCAAGATTTAAAAGCTGAAACCTTACAGGTAAGCTAAAGGGATATCTGTTTCAAAAAACAAAACTTCGGGAAGAGCTGGTCGTCCTAACAGCAAAATTTAAAAAGCCACGAAACCAAAAGAAGAAACAAGAAGTAATCAAGAAAATGGTATATTGTGTCAAAATATCAATACTCGAATCCTTTTTATATAATGTTTGACTCTCTAGGAGTTTTGTTTGTTTTCGGCTTAAGGAAGTCCTGCCTATTGGCCACTAGTTTTTCTTTGTTTCTTCCACTTTCTAGCTACTTTCTTTGCAGCATTATCTGCCCCTGAGTAAGCTATTGAGGAGCAATCCAATGGAAGTAGCAGACCAGATTACACCGCGAAAATTTAGCCTCTGCTCGTATGATCTGTAGCTATCCTTGGTCTTTCCTGAAGGCAAAAACGCAAGTGAACTTCGCTCAAAATATCGATGTATCAACCAATTTTAGTGATAACCGAAACTTAAGTTTTCCCCATCTGTTTTACATAACATGTTATGTAGTTTCTTCAACTGCCTCGATCTTGGATTTTTTGGCGGCAGTATCTGCCCCTGAGTGTCCGTCAAGTGAATCCTTGATCTTAAAATAAAAATGCAAATGAACCACAAATACTATTTCATTGATCACCGTTATCTAAGTTTTCCTCATCTATTTTGCATAACCTTTTGCGTACTACTTTCAAAACTGCTTCCCAGACTTCCCGATTACGCCAAAAATACAAGAACGGATTTATAGCGGAGTTCATGAACAGAATAGTGTCAGCAAAATACCATCTGATGTTCCAATGATCTTTACAAGTCACCCAAATCAGGGCGCCGACAGCCGCCGGAAAATAACAAAGAACCGTACAAATGTAATATATAAATGTGTTTGCAGTGCGTTTCTTCGCTTGTATCTTGAGATTTTGTTCAGCCTTCATACTCTTTACAGCTTGCTGTTGGGCATGAATCTGATGTTGATGGTGTTGAACGATTTGATAAACTGCATTGTAAGTGATTAAAGAAATGGAAAGTCATAAGGCAACAAAGACAATATTGCAACACTATGAATAGTATTTTTCTTCCAAATGCTAAGCAGTGATAAAATGATGTTTTTGCACCAAATTGTTGCTGCTACACAGGTTGCACATGTAGAGGTCATCAAGTTCGGATATCGCATGTGATAACGGATGGCCAAATATCAGTCGATGCTAATTGCTGTCATTGTTTCAAGGGAAACACAGCAGAGTTGAATAATGAGGAAGATTCTTGCTTGTGACAGACGCGACTAAGAACTGACCCGAGAAAGCGGTGTAAGGGCGATGGCAATGTCAAGTGGAAGAGCAAGAAACCCAACAAAAGGATCAGAAACAGCAAGACTGCAGAGCAAAATGACGGAGTGGGTAGGGAAGGATTTCTCCATATGCCGGCTAATACCAAAACATTGCCAGCGATGCATATTGGTATCAGTAGAGCATTGAGGACACTATTCGGTATGATTACAGAGGTCTCGAGAGGTGAGGATTCTTTGTCACTCTCCAACCCACCAAGCATCATATCAACAGTAGAGTTTGCCATCTCAAATTTTTCAATTTTGTCCCCTGTTTCTCTTCAAAGAAAAACTGCATATTATTTTTTATACTCTTTCATCTGGCATCATATTAAAATTTCAACCATCTTGCCAGCATTTAATTCTTTAACTTATGTCTAATAGGTCTTTTCATTTAGTAGAAGTTATACTTGATCATCTTTTAAAATGGAATTAATGATGAATGGTACCAATTGAATCAGTGCCCATTTTCTAATTGACCCCATTTCACCAATGGGTATGCACCCCACTTTGTCAAACTTGCAAATATATCATGCCTATCAAATAATTAATTGCTTTAACCCCGTCACTTCGATTTCGGAAACAGAAAGGACATAAAATTAAAAGAAAAGCTTCTTCTCTTCCCACTCCTATAATTTTCCATTGCATTTCGACCACACTAGTGACAAAGAAGACCAGAGTGACCAACAAGGAAGCAGGCCTGATACTATGGAGAATAATTATTAGTTTAGCAAAGACATCAATTCAACATAACACAAATAACCCCACACAGCAGGAAAGTATTGGAAGACAGCTGCTTCAGTCATTCATCCCTGTTTATTTGGCCTTTTCTTTTCATATTTTTTGGCTGACAAGATAGAATTGTAAATCCTACTTTCACAAAGAGCAAGTCAGATAGCTGGCCGTTCTTGATGTTGTACTTATAGCGATCTTGAAAAGTTTCTTCACCATTAGGTTTATATGTTTATATGCGAATGTTTTGTCTCTCTCTGTAAGACCTAAGTGGTGGTGTGCCTGCGCCATATTTTTTGTCCATCCTTTTTTCTCTGCTGCATTGGTCTTTTGAAGAACTTGGGGTGGGATCAAACGTGCGGAGCAAACACGCCATTTACATACAAATTTATTAAGGTCTTCACCCCATCAGTTGAAATGAGCATGATCAACCTTTCATTCCCTTTCATTACCGTGGGGATTTGTAATATAGTTCTTAATTTTAGTGAGTCTGTGAAAGAAATCCTTTGGTGTTACCATTCAATTTAAACCTCTTAAGCATTATTTTTATATAGTACTATTTATTTAGTATATAGTCATAACTTTTCAGTCTGTGGGTGAAATCCTATGGTGTTACCATTCAAATGAAACCTCTTCGGCAGTACATGGTATCTTTTGTTTTTCAGTATATTATAAAATTAAACGTGGGAAATTTATTAGATTTTTATGTTGGCCCTATCGGGGCGGATGAGTTAAATTTGGCAGGTAAAATGTATGTTCTAAAAAGTTGATATTTATTTTATTCATATTGTTCTTTCTAAGGTACTGCAACAGATGCAAGAAGCACAGACTAGCGGTGAAGAAGCTGGACATATGGAGTCTACCACCCATCTTAGTGAGTAACAGTATTGCTGATAAAGCACACTGTAAATATCTTGCAAAAAAGCAGTTATCTTGAAATCAAAACTGTTATTATGTCAGTCATCTTACAAACGAGAACAAAGAGTTTGACCCATTCAACCTTACCAAGTTCCGTTTGCTTACAGTACGCTGAGTTTAACTTCATAATGGATCAAGAAATCTGGACTGTTGTCGTCCGTGACTGTATTATTTTATAGTGTCAGTGACAAAATTCAGTATGTTACATACACCATGCCTCTTTGCACTCTGTTACTCTGTTGGCCTCCACACTTGCCTGCCTGCAGGCCTGCCAACTTAAAAAGTGTGTCTGGTTTTAGTAATGGTATTTATTTACGGGGATGGGACATCATTCCATCACCAACCCCCCAAACCTGGAGAGCCAGATGTTGCGGCAATGGTTTATGGTCACCTCACCACTAAAAGATCTCGCCACCACATAATAACTCTGCAATAATCGACACTGTTTACTTACCTGGGATTGTTGCTTCTTCCTCAAGACCAAATATAATTCTATCGATTGTAATTGACACCTAGCGTCAAACTTGTCATATTAAGTTTTATTTTTTGTGAATTATTGCGACTTTTTAATACCTTAATACGGCTTATTTGCATCGCTCGAGAGGTGTGATTTGTTTAAAATCCAACAGCCTTTCTTATGAAAGCTGGTTAATATTGTCACTTGAACCTTACCTCCTTAAATTTCATTGCAAATTTAAAGTGAAAGAATTCTTTTTAGAGACTTGTCCTTGTGGCGATTACATTGGTGGTGAGATAGTCTGGTGGCTAGGTGACCGGATACCGTTGCAATAGACGATATTCGTATTCCCCGACGGCCCTGGTACGAGAGACTTCACAGCATGATTGCGAGGCTAAAGCGGGGAACTTTTTGGCAAAAACACAAACAAACATTGGTTAGTCGCGGCTGAATCGCTGCAAAACGATAGAAATCAGCAAAAAACTGCAAGATTTAAAAGCTGAAACCTTACAGGTAAGCTAAAGGGATATCTGTTTCAAAAAACAAAACTTCGGGAAGAGCTGGTCGTCCTAACAGCAAAATTTAAAAAGCCACGAAACCAAAAGAAGAAACAAGAAGTAATCTAGAAAATGGTATATTGTGTCAAAATATCAATACTCGAATCCTTTTTATATAATTTTCTTCTTATAGAGTGTTTTCACATGACATCACGGCGGCCATATTGGTGTCCTAAAACAATGAAACGGCGGCCATGTTGGTGTCCCAAACCAGTCCTCTGGGAGTTGAACTCTTTTCTTATGCAAACGCTTTCTTTTGATCCAATAAATTTGCATAGACGTTGACCACGTGAGTGAAAACACTCTATTATTATTCTTTTTCTTTTGTGTGTATCTGTAGTGTGGAGTTTAAACTGCTCAGTATTATCGTCTGTACCAAACTCATTGTTCAACTGCGTGCAGGTTTTTGTACTCTCGCACAGTTGTTATCGAAGATAATGTAACTTAAATTTAAAAATAAACTTTACCGAGTCATCTTTGTTCAAACCCGTTTAACTTCCTTAAAATGCACATGGACTGTGTGCAGAACGTTAAGCCCCGTCCTGATAAGTAATTATCCACTGAATGAGTCGTTTGGTTGACTTCAAATACACAAGATTTTGCATCCGCTCTGTTAGAAAATTTCAACTGCAACTAGGTGTGATAACATCACTGTTAACTTTATCGCAAGCTTTCGATAATCACGTCTATTTCAATAAAAGGTATTCTTCAAAAAGTTTAAAGGACACTGAAAATTACAATAAAATGGCTTCGGGGAGTTTGAGAACATCTCTGTTTATATTACATGTAAATTATAAACTCGCTCACCAAGCACTCTTCTCATCAACGTAATTATGGTTAGGATGGCTGTTTTTCTTAGTAATAATGACCAGATATTCCTTTTGTTGTTTGAAATAATGATCTCTCAAGTATTTAAGCCCTTAGCAACTTTACAATGCTAAAAATTTTCCTTAAATTCGGCAAACTCAGCCACAGTTTTCTCATATTTGTTTTTCCTCTTGGCGAGAAGTTCCCCGCATGAGCCTCGCATTCATGATCAAGGCCTACTCGTCCCAGGACTGTCGGAGAATACGAATACTGTCTATTCGTCTGGTCTTTCACCCAAAACCTTCCCAGCACGGTTATAGCTACCACCCACCCGGAACCAAGGCCCCAGCTTGCATAGCTTTCAATTCAGGGTCATCAAGGTACACAAACCTCCCCTCCATGCATGTTAAGGTGCATCGCTTTGGGAGGATTTTATGCTATGTGTAAACGGACACAACAGTGGTGGCCAACAACTCCCAGCACTGTTGGATGTTACATGTTGCGCCTGTTTACACACCCTGTAGCATGTTGTTGTGAGTTGTTGCGCAAAGTTTGAAACCGGTCAAACTTTAAGCTACCATAAAATTCCTTAAATAAGCCCTGGGGCTTATATTTTTCAAAAGCCCTTTTTGAGGGGCTTATTTTTGGAAGGGCTTATATTCAGAGGGGCTTATGTACAGAGGGAAATTTGCGTTTCAAAATGATTGGGCCAGCCTTATGGTTGGAAGGAAATTTACCGTTTTTGCTTTGTTTTACTTTGTAAAGTTAAGGGTAATTTCTTATATTTGGAGAGGCGATTTAACGGAGGGTCTTTTGCGTTATCTGTTTGGGGGGCTTATATTTGGAGGGGCTCATACGTGGGATGGGGGGGGGGGGGGGACTTATTTTCGGAATTGTACGGTATGTGCAAACAGACTTAACAACTCCCAACAACGTTGGGATTTGTCGGCCAACAATGTTGCGTCCGTTTGCACAAGGCTTTACATTTAACACCATTTCTATTCCACTGGCAGGTTATCGACTTGAAGCGATTTCAGTTAGTTAACAACCACTGGGTGAAGTCAAATAAGATTGTTCAGTTTCCCATGGAAGGCTTTGATCCTTCAGCTTTCCTGGCTAAGCCGTCCAGAAGTGGAACATCAAGTGCTATTACGTCAGATGGCGGAGTCACCACAGTCAATGTCAAAAGCAGTGAGGAACTGGTGAACGACGAGGAGACTGAGGAGAGGAAAGAAGCAACCACACGGCAGGGGAGTGAAGTGAGTACAGACATCACTCTGTTTGCCTTATGTGACAAAGTGCGGTTAGGGGTAGTGTTGGGAATCAGCTGGGATCTTTTGTAGTCCTACATCTGAAATAATCGGATTAACCCAACCAATTGATCATTGATTATAATCAGAGAAATCGCTTTATAAGAATTCCATTTATTGTTGTCCTTTCTGTCTTTCTGTGTTGGTAGAGCCTAGGGATGTGCTATGAAATTTTTGACCTTCACAAAAATGTGGTTTTTCAGTCTCCAATCCCCTGTCTTAATAAAGCTTCCTAAAGTAATAGACCTTTATTCGCTCTATGTATTATGCTGATTACTCAGTGTAGAAAATCTTGAGATGTTCTTCGGAGATTTCATTCCTTGTCTTTGTTAGCCTGTGCACCACCCCTCCCCCCTCGCCTTCCCTCAAAACAATCAGGGAGAGAGTTCCCCTCTGATTTTTTTTAGGGAAGGGCGTGGCTGTACATTATGTATGTCTTCTTGGAAGTAAGCAGTACGTGATGTGTCCACTACTCTGATTCTCCATTGGGTATTGTCATGTGATCTCAAAAGGAACAGCCAAACTACAAAGTGAATACGGTCTATTTTGATGGACCCCTTAAAACTGATTCTCACACAGCTGTGGTTGTTTTAGAGTCTCACTAAGGTAATTTATTTTCTATGCAGGAGTCATCGTCCCAAAGTTCAGCTGGAGAACTAAGTTCAAGTCAAGTTGAACTCAACCAAAACAGCAAGCCTCCCTCGCGCCATTCCTCGTGTTTAAGCCTTAACTCGGCCAAGGTTCACCCGGAAGTCTCGTCAGAGAACTCTGCACCTACCCCCGTAGAAAGACCAAGCACTTCGGACTTCATTGTGTCAGATTCTGCAGAATCGCAGGGTACTCAACGTGAAAATGTGCGTAAAGTGTTGGCGGCTTCGAGAAGTGAAGGCTCACAAAGTGAGATACCAACGTACAGGATATACACCATGTCGGTATGTCGAATGAAGGTCAAGTAAACTGTTAGTGAGTCGCATTGTTCAAAACTCTTTCAGTATTTCTTACTTACTCTGTTGGGTTTATTTTAGTGTCACACAGGTGTTCTGGGCGGAGGTCATTACATTTCGTATGCACACAACCCAAACAGCAAATGGTACTGTTATAATGACAGTAGCTGTAAGGTTAGTACTGGATCAACATGTTTAAGATGGCGGTCATACTGTTATAAGGGTTTCTTTCAAGTGGTGAACCTTTTTTAAGTGGTCAACTTGCTATCTCTAGGTTTATTTTGGTTTGACTGTAAACCATTTTCACGATGGCCTTATTTTACCACAACTAAAGCCTCGTGCAAACCGACGCAACATTATTAGCCAACATCTCTCAACATTGTTGGGAGTTGTTGTGTCCGGTTGCACGTAGCTAAAAGTTTGACCGGTTTCAAACTTTGCGCAATAATTCCCAACAACACTCAATAACATGCAACAGGGTGTGCAAATGGGCGCAACATGTAACATCCATGTGCTCCGGGCTTTACATGCTGGGAGTGGTTGCGTCCGTTTGCGCGTAGTTTAAGAAGGACGCTTTTAGGACCGCCAATAAGTCTCCGTCTATGTGCGTCTTATAGAGATTGAAATAAAGGTAGTGAAGAAAGGCAGGGACCAACTCTAGGTGTCCGTCTTATAGAGGTGTCCGTTAAGAAAGAATTGACTTAATTACGACAGTTGTCTTGTATTATGGAGGTAACCAGGTTGATAATGTTGTCGTTTGCTTCTCTTGTTTCAGGAATGTGACAATACAAAGCTTCAAAAGGACTCGCCCTACATGTTATTCTATCAACAGGACGATCTAGAGGAAGGAATGTTTCTTCCCAACTTCAATGGTCAAACGCCTGACTCAGCCAGCGATGACGAAGAATATGAGAACGAAGTGCGTAGACTGTGCGTCGTTCAATGAAGATCCTTGGAGCCGGGGACTGGGGAAGAATCTTATAATTTATACACATTTTTTGTATTGAAATCTTCATTCAATGAATACTTACGCGAGCGTAAATTATCAGAAATGTTGTAAATATATCGACACGGAGAATTTTATTTTTAAATGCCTTTAATGCAGATGATGAAATTATTGCAACGGTGCGTACAGGGTCGCGCTTCCTGTACAAGTAAAATTTAGAGTTGAGAGATGAGAGACTGGCAAACGGGACCAAAATGCGACTGAGTAGGGAGAGGACGTGTTTGTCGCCTCAGCCTCCCCTCCCTCATTGTCTTTAGCCCTTTACCTTGGTCTTACAGGGGGTACCCCATTTCGTACTCTCTCTGACAAGTATTTGTGTTCCGTGTGCTTTTTGTCCGTCATTTTTGTGTAAACATTTTGTTGTTTATTGTCTTTATTCCTCATACTATGAAGAAGATATGGTCCCTTTAAAGTACTTTAGTAATTTGTACTGTGAAAGATGAGGACTTCGCGCGCGAAGTTGCTGTACTTAAAAATATGCGAATCAGAATGGTGTCACGGTATTCTATGCGATCCAGGTACTTCTATTCTTGTTATTGTTGCTTCTTTTGATGTTTTTTCTTTTTGCGCAACAAAACGTTCTCTTATGAGCTGTCGTTTAAGAAGGTGCCTTTTTTTTTGTCTCGGCAGCTCATTTGGGGAAAGTTTGCTGCGGGTCCCTCTCCTAACATTCGTATTTAATTATTCCATGTTTATTCCGGCGTGATAAGCGATGACAATCTATTTCAATTGATAATAATCGATAGTAAAGTTTGTATTGAACTAGGGGCTCTGAATTAATTGTTGTCAATGTTGTTAAAAACAAACATTGTAAATTGAGCGCCCTTTATTCAACATAAAAAAACTGACAACAATATACAATATTCCTAATTCAGCACGAAAGAGTTGGAAAAATAATGCGAAAAATCCAAGTCGTGGATCGAAAACAGATTGAAAGAGAGTGTAAATTTATGTGGCCCATGCTAGCGGGGCCGGTAGGAACGCCTGAAGTACTGTGAAAATTTCCGCGTTATTTTCAAGTGTACGCCACGCGCAAATTCTGCAGTTATTTCAGGCTGAGATTGTTAAGATTATCGAAGTAGTAACCAACGACCTTATAGTGGAATTATTCCCTTCTCTTGTTTCACCACCGTGACATCAAGTGTCCAACTGCCTTGCAGAAAAAAAAAATTACATCTAGTGAAGCCAATTCTTGATAACACATCCAGTCCATACTTAAATGGTCTCCCCTTTTGAACCGCGAAGATTCGTCGCCTACATACTTACTCTTGACATTTTTTTGTATTCTTTGTACTGATTGAAAGAACTTGTTTTACTTTGGGGAAGAATGGGAAGTGAATAAAGTTCACTTTAATATATCTTACTGGTAGTTTGTATTTGTACCCATTTTGTGTGGCCTTTCTTGGTTAGAGTTTGTCAAGATTATTTGGTAGCGTCACGACCTTTACCCTTCTCTTCATTTATAAAGTTAACGCTGTTTGTTTGGATGATGGGTGATGAAGAACCTTTTCCTCCATTCGAGTTTCTTGACTTTCAGTTATAAAAGTTACCAGCCAGTTACATTTCTATTTGAGCAGCAGAACGAACAAGCAAGGATCAGTTTGTTTCCTAGTTCGTTTCGTCGAGGTCCTTGAATCCTCACCTGTTGTGTAGAGCCCAAGTCTCTGGGCTTTATAGCCAATTTTATAATAGGGAAATTACTGTGTTTGTATGAGAATCTTATGTCGAAAAACGCCTGTTCTGAAAGAAAAAAAAATGAATTGTAGACTAAAGTTTCACTCCTAACGATTCAACTGAAAAAGATTTGAGGGCGTTACATGCAGCTGCTTGCGCTAGAGCCTTTTTTAAACATTTTCCAACATTTGTCTGTAAAAATTTCTTCTTCCTGCCGACTAGACAAGGTCTATTTTGCAAGTAATTGTTTGTGTTTGCTGTTATGTTGTTTTCCCTTTATTGATTCTTTTTCTTTTGCATGGTCTAAGTGTTGGTAACAACGATGAAATGTCAAAAGAACTATTCCCGAGTGCATGTAGAAAGTTGCTCTTCAGCCCTCATTCGAGAAGCCCTGGAAACGAGCTCAGCTTCAGCTAGTAAAAAATGGCGGAAAATTTCACACTATTTGCGATCGAAGAAGAAATTGCCGTACAAATGCCGAAAAACTCGGTGAAAAGAGCAAAAATACAACTCGACGAATGACAACTGCTATTTGAAGAATATGTAGTAGACTAATAATCCCTTAAATACAAGGTAAATCGACGTCTGAATAATTTCCATACATCATTACATGACTTACATGCACATATAAAATTATTCAGATGTATTGGGTCACGTTTCCTCTGTGAGGTTTAGCATAGACCATAAGAACTTATTTAGTTAATTGCTACGCTATTTGTTTTTCTTTGCCCCTCGTTTTATTATTTGTGAAAGGCGTTTCACTTTAACTTCTCAAACTCATTAATAATTCATTAAGAAAATACAAAGGAAATTAATGTTTAATGAGTGTTTGGAAATCGGATGAAACACTGCTTAGTATTTGCATCCTTAATTTCTCCTTCAAAAATGATTTTGTTTGAGAAGAAATATCAAACATTCGACACAGTGTTTCATCACCAGATGAAACACCTCGAAGTTCGTCAAAAATACTCCGCTGCGCGTCGTATTTTCAACTCTCTTCTCGGTGTTTCATCTGGTGATGAAACACTGCATCTCATGTTTGATATATTACTTGAAAAATGAATTTTAGCTTGAAAGTCTGGTTGGTTGGTAACATAACTCGTCGTTTTACCTAACTTTAAACTCACAGCCGGCTGTACTTGCTGAAATTTAAGTTGCACGCGGCTTTGCCTTCATTAATAGCAGCTGTTATAATAATATTTCATAATTATTCCTCGGTCAAATAACTTTTAAGTTTTCCTGTTTGACTCTTTAGGAGGTTTATTTGTTTTCTTAAGGAAGTCCTGCCTGATGTTCTAAGATTCAAATACCGCGTTCGATGGAAGATCATCGTAGAGGGGTCGGAAAAAACTCGGGGACGAAAACTGCATTTTTTGTAAATTTTCTTGTGCACTACAGTAATAGCCCGCGTATAAGAACCTGAATTTTTCAATTTAGCCTAAATAGGTTATTATATAAATGGTACTTAAAGCAAATTTAGGCTACCGAGGTTCTTAAAATAGGTTCTTATATTTTCATATGAATTTCATCTGAATATACTATATATATTATAAATATCATCTGATAATACAGTATAAATCATTTATTTGTACCATAAAGCAATGCCTATATAGGCAGTTCAGCGCAGGTACAGCATATGTCCTAGATGATGATCTTAATTCAACAGTTTCTACCTATACACTTTTACAGCAACCCCACTGATAAGAACCTAACTTAAAATTTTAGCCTAAATAGATTCTTCTGTGGAGGAGGCTTAAAATGAAAATTTTAGCCTAACAGGTTCTTAAAACCCAGGTTCTTATACGCGGGCTATTACTGTAGTTTTTTGTTTGTTTCTTCCACTTTCTAGCTACTTTCTTAGCGACATTATGTGTAAGCTGTACCCAACGACTTTACTGTTTTCTATACTATTCGGAGAAGCTAATAATTTCTAGGTGACCATTCCATTCATGTACAATTTTCGAAGTTTATCTAATAAATTCCCTGCGATTTTTGAAGTTTTATTTTTTACATTTCATTGCCCAGGTTAGGATATTTTTCGTACAAAAGAAACCTAAAATTTTCGGATTCAAAAATGTGATGGAGAGAGGAATCAAAACAATTTTTCACTTTCGTAATGCGCTAAATTGCATCTGAAATTTTCGGGGAAATAATACCGAAGCCCTTACAATTTCGAAAAGACTTGAGTTCCCCTAGAATGACCGAACAGATACAAATTTTATAGCGCCGCTTAGAATGCAGCAGGCGCTTGGAATTAGTGGGAGAAAAAGAGAACGAGCGCGCGCGAGGGAGACGCGCGCCCGTTTTTTCTTGTGTCCACTACTTCCAAGCGCCTGCTACGCAGGCTATAAGAATTACTCTGGATAGTCTAAAAAAGTGTTTTCAACGCACTCGGTAGCAAACTGTCCTTGGGTGCTCCTGAGGAATACAGTGGAAGTTGCAGACCAGTTTACACCGCCGGAAAATGTAGCCTCAGCTCGTAGGAACTTAAGTTTTCTCCATCTGTTTTACATATTAAACATTTTACGTAGTTTCTTCAAAACTGCCTCGATGTCAGTTTTTTGGGCGGCAGTGTCTCAAGTGAATCCTCGACCTTAGAATAAAAACACAAATGAACCACCAACTTCATTGATCGATGTTATTTAAGTTTTCCTCATCTGTTTTGCATAATATTTTTCGAAGTATCTTCAAGACTGCTCTCCGGATTTCCCAATTACGCCAAATATACAAGAATGGATTTATAGCGGAGTTCATGAACAGAAAAGTGTCAGCAAAATACCATCTGATGTTCCAATGTTCTTTATAAGTCACCCAAATTAGGGAGGAGACAGCCCATGGAAAATAACAAAGAAGCATACAAATGTAATATATAAATGTGTTTACAGCGCGTTTCTTCGCTTGTATCTTGCAGTTTTGTTCCGCGTTCATACTCTGTACGGCTTGCTGTTGGGCGTGCATCTGATGTTGATGGTGTCGAACGATTCGATAAATTGCACTGTAAGTAATTGAAGAAATGAAAAGACATAAGGCAACAAAGACAATTCCAACAAGAAGATAGCACTTCTCTTCCAAATGATAAGCAGTGATAAAATGAAGTTTTTACACCAAAATGTTGCTGCAACGTACATTGCACGTTTAAAGGTCATCAAATTCGGATATCGCATGTGATATCGTAGGGCCAAATATCGATCCACGCTGATGGCTGTCATTGTGTCGAGGGAAACACCGCAGAGTTGAATAATGAGGAAGGTCCTTGCTTGTGACAGACGTAAGTAAGAACTGCTCCGAGAAAGCGGTGTAAGGGCGATGGCAATGTTAACTGGAAGAACGAGAAACCCAACAAAAAGATCAGAAACAGCAAGACTGCACAGCAAAATGGTAGACGGAGTGCGTAGGGATGGATTTCTCCATACGGCGGCTAGTACCAAAACATTGCCAGCGATGCATATTGGTATCAGCAGAGCATTGAGGACACTATTTATGATTACAGAGGTCTCGAAAGGTGAGGATTCTTCGTCACTCTCCAACCCGTCAAGCATCATATCGACAGTAGAGTTTGCCATCTTAAAATTTTCAATATTGTCAAATGTTTCTCTTCAAAGAGAAACTGCATATTATTTTTTATAGTTTCACCTGGCATCTTATTAAAATTATAACCACCTTGCCAGCATTTAATTCTTTAACTTATGTCCAATAGGGCTTTTCATTTAGTAGAAGTTATACGTGTCCATCTTTTAAAATAGAATTGGTGATGAACGGTACCAATTAAGTCAGCGCCCATTTTCTATTTCACCAACAGGTGTGCACCACACTTGGTCAAACTTGCAAATATATTACGCTTATCAAGTAATTAATTGCTTTAACCCCGTCACTTCGATTCCATAAACAGAAAGGACATAAAATTAGAAGAAAAGCTTCTTCTTTTCCCACTCCTATAATTTTTCCCAAATAACTAATAAACAATTTTAACCCAAATAACCCCACACAGTAGGGAAGCATTGGAAGACAGCTGCTTCAGTCATGCATCCTTGTTTATTTGGCCTTTTTTTTTCGTATTTTTGGCTGACAAGATAAAATTGTAAATCCTACTTTTACAAACAGCAAGTCCGGCCATTCTTCACGTCGTTCTTATAGCGATCTTCAAAAGTTTCTTCGCCGTCAGGTTTATCTCAACCGTCAACCCTGTCAACCCAATTCCCAGAAAAAAAAATGGCGGAGGAAAATTTAGGAAGGGTCCCACTTGATTTGAGACACCCTTGCTTGAAAGCCACCCCCCCCACCCCTCCCCCCATCCGCATTAGTTTAAATAAGCGCCCAACCTCGTTCTCAAGAGAAAGGAAAAGAGCAATAGAGTGAGAGAGCCTGGGAACTTGGATGAAATGCTGCATCTTTATCCTTCATATCATAGAGCTACTTGGCGGAAAAGGAAAAAAAATAACTTCAGTTAATTAGTAAAAAGCTACCGAATATAACCTTTCAGAGATTGATTTGTATGTAAAAATTTCTTCTTTCTGCCGACTAAAATTTCCCGGGAAAAATTGCAGACAAATATATGGAAAATCTAAAGCAAGCGCCTGGAGAAATTTAAGCACAGTTAAGGTCCCCGAAATTTGTTAGTAAAATCCTTTGCTGTGTAGCTTTAGTTTACAATTCATATTTTTTTCAGAGGAGCCTTTTTAAAATTATCCTTCATTAGATTCTCATACAAACACTGCAATTTCTCACGCGGTTGCCTAACTCGTCAACATGGCTTCCAAACCCATGACATTGTCTATTTTGCAACTAATTGCTTGTGTTTACTGTTATGTTGTTTTCTCTTTATCGATTCTTTTATTTTGCACGGTCTAATTGTTGGTGACAGAGATAAAATGTCAAAAAAACTATTGCCCAGTACAGCAAAATTTGCTCTTCAACCCTCATTCGCCGAGAAGCCCTGGAGACGAGCTCAGCCTCAGCTATTAAAAAAAATGGCGGAAAATTTCACACTATTTGCGGATCGAAGAAGAAATTGCCATACAAATGCCTAAAAACATAGCTAGAAGAGCAAAAATACAACTCGACGAATGACAACTGCTATTTGAAGAATATTTGGTAGACTAATCATGCCTTAAATACAAGGTAAATCGACGTCTTAATAATTTTCGTACAGACACATATAATTCAGATAGGTCACTTTTAGCATAGACCATGAGAACTTGTTTAGTTAATTGCTACGTTTCCTTTTTCTTTGCCCCTCGTTTAATTGTTTTTGAAATGTGTTGCACTTTAATTTTAAAAATGATTGTAGGGTCTTGAACGTCTGGTTTGTTAACCTAACGCGTGGTTTTACCTAACTTAACACAATTATAATTGCAGCTTTGCCGTCATTATTAGAAGCTGTTATACACACAATTATTAATTTTTTTCATTTCATTTCACAATCATATCATTTGTTTCGCCAAACCATAGCAGATGATAATACAGAATTAGATATAGGGTGAAAAGTAAGTAAGAAATAAGATTAACAAAGGAAAGAAAACGTACAATACAAAATTAAAATAATTTCTAGGTGACCATTCAATTCAAGTACAATTTTCGAAGTTTATCTAATAAATTCCCTACGATTTTTGAAGTTTTATTTTTTACAATTCATTGCCCAGGTTAGGATATTTTTCGTACAAAAGAAACCTAAAATTTTCGGATTCAAAAATGTGATGGACAGAGGAATCAAAAAAAATTTTTTCACTTTCGTAATGCGCTAAATTGCATCTAAAATTTTCGGGGAAATAATACCGAAGCCCTGGCAATTTCGAAAAGACTTAAGTTTCCCTAGAATGACCGAACAGATACAAATTTTATAGCGCCACTTAGAATGCATTTGTAAAGTCTTAAGAAGTTAGCCTTCGTAGCAGGCGCGCCCTGGGGTAGCCTGTTCCAGGCTCTCAGATAGTGGGGAAAACGCGAAAGTGTAGGGCGCGCGAAAATGGGGGTAGGGCGGGAAAAAAAGGAAAAGGAAGGGAGAGAGAGCCTGTAATCATTTCTTTTACGACCCTCTTCTTCCCTCCTTCTGCCCACTTTTGGCTGTCAAGCTGTTGATGTGTTAATGAGTTGGAATCTTTCTCAAATTTCTCGCGCGAGTATTTCGCGCGGCGAAAATTCCTTATCCCGGCCGCCGGCGTGAGCAATTTCATGTCTTCCGAAACAGAGTTTGCGAATCGCACAGTCCATTCTTCTAAGAGCTGTAGATTTTGCAAAAAATCTCTGACATGTAGTGAATCAAAAGTCCCTCGTGTTTCTGTGTCCTATGTGGTAAAAAACAAAGAGTTATTGGCGTAAACCGGCACGGAGAGTGTAGTATTAGCTGATGTTGTTGGATCGCTCCGCCACAAATTGTAGAGGCACGAAGTTCTCTCCCCTGTCGAAGCGCACACGTGAGGATGGAGCAAGGGCGAAGTCTCGAAGATGCCTTGACTTGGCGGATGTGAGCGTATTACCCGAGGAGGTTGACAAGGAAAATTCAATTCCTTCTGCGGGCATTTCTTCACTGGAGGATGCAATGGATTCAAGGACAGATTTATCTAGTGAAAGTGAACAACAGCAAACCGCGATTGTGAAGGTGAGATGCTGTGCGATTCGCCCGGGCGATTCGATCTTTCCACAAAAGTGGATCCAGAGATAAGCGTGTTTATACAGAGAAGTCTACCATAAAGCTTGTATTTGGGAACTCTTTTTATGTTTTAGATGTGAACGTTTTCTTACAAATTTGTTTACTTGACGGTGATTTTCAATTTAGCTGAAGTATTTCTACGCAATGCAGCATATATAGATTTTCGTGTTATGCGGTACAGCTCGTAATATAATAATTGCGCTGTACAAGTTGTTCATTTCACCGCGGTGAAACTCGGATACTTCTAACGGTTAAAAGACGAGTTCGTGCTTTCTGACGATTGATACAATTCGGTAAATCAGATTATGACTACATGATTTTTTTTTAAGCTTGCTGGACTCCCGCTGCAGGTTGAACAGTTGCACGAGCAAATTTTCTTTGAAAGATTAATTTAATTTCCTTTTTCTGGCCAAATCTACTTTGCTCGAAAATCTATTCCCTTTCACTGCAGTAACTTCTGGTTTTTTTCCCGCCGCCTCCCCCTCTCCCCAGTTTCCTCCCGTTTTTTTTTTTTGTTCGCGCTTTCTCAATTCAGCGGGCCCGACTATCTCAGAGCCTGGAACAGGCTAGCGAGAAGGAGACGCCTACACGCGTCCGTTTTTTTCTTGTGCCCGATGTTGTGCCCACTACTTCCAAGCACGTGCTACGCAGGCTATAAGAAGTACTCTGGATAGTCTAAAAAAGTGTTTTCAACGCATTCGGTAGCAAACTGTCCTTGGGTGCCCCTGAGGCATTCAATGGAAGTTGCAGACCAGTTTACACAGCCGGAAAATGTAGCCTCAGCTCGAAGGATAGCTAACCTTGGTCTTTCATTGATCACCGAAACTTAAACATTTTACGTAGTTTCTTCAAAACTGCCTCGATGTCAGTTTTTTGGGCGGCAGTGTCTCAAGTGAATCCTTGATCTTAAAATAAAAACGCAAATAAAGCAACAACTTCATTGATCGCCGTTATTTAAGTTTTCCTCATCTGTTTTGCATAATATTTTTCGAAGTATCTTCAAGACTGCTCTCCGGATTTCCCGATTACGCCAAATATACAAGAATGGATTTATAGCGGAGTTCATAAACATAATAGTGTCGAAATACAAACTGATGTTCAAATGTGGTTCATAAGTCACCGTAATTAGGGTGGATACAGCCACTGGAAAATAACAAAGAAGCATACAAATGTAATATATAAAAGTGTTTAGAGCGCGTTTCTTCCCTTGTATCTTGCAGTTTTGTTCCGCATTCATACTCTGTACGGCTTGCTGTTGGGCGTGAATCTGATGTTGATGGCGTCGAACGATTCGATAAATTGCACTGTAAGTAATTGAAGAAATGAAAAGACATAAGGCAATAAGGACGACTCCAACAAGAAAAATAGTATTTCTCTTCCAAATGCTAATCAGTGATAAAATGACGTTTTTACACCAAAATGTTGCTGCAACGTACACTGCACGTTTAGAGGTCATCAAATTCGGATATCGCATGTGATATCGTAGGGCCAAATATCGATCCACGCTGATGGCTGTCATTGTTTCAAGGGAAACACCGCAGAGTTGAAAAGTGAAGAAGAACCTTGCTCGAAACAGACGTGAGTAAGAACTGCTTCCAGAAAGGATATAAAAGCGGGCGATGGCAATGTTAACTGGAAGAAGGAGAATCCCAACAAAAAGATCAGAAACAGCAAGACTGCACAGCAAAATGGTAGACGGAGTGCGTAGGGAAGGATTTCTCCATACGGCGGCTAGTATCAAAACATTGCCAGCGATGCATATTGGTATCAGTAGAGCATTGAGGACACTAATTATGATTACAGAGGTCTCGAAAGGCGAGGATTCTTCGTCACTCTCCAAGCCACCAGGCATCATATCAACAGTAGAGTTTGCCATCTCAAAGTTTCCAATTTTGTCCCCTATTTCTCTTCAAAGAGAAACTGCATATTATTTTTTAATAAAACTGGTTGTCTATTATCAATGGTGGTCTATTATCAATGCGTTCTGATTGGTTGAGCTACTACTAGGCTATATGTTATAGCCTACTAGTAGCGGGGAGCGCCGGATTTTTGGCCGCAAAAAGAGATTTACGTCTAGCTTTAACTAGCTAAAAGTTGTTTTGTCTCGATATTTTTGACCAACTAGTTGGGTTTTACTAAAACAATTATTCCTCGAGCCCGAATGGTCTCTGAGTCAATAGTCCATTCGGCCTTCGGCCTCTCGGGCTATTGACTCAGAGCCCATTCGGGCTCGAGGAATAATTGTTATACATTTTAATTAAAATTACAACCATCTTGCCAGCATTTAATTCTTTAACTTATTTCTAATAGGGCTTTTCATTTAGGAGAAGTTATACTTGATCATCTTTTAAAATGGAATTAATGATGAACGGTACCAATTAAGTTAGCGCCCATTTTCTAATTGACCCCATTTCACCAATAGGTGTGCACCCCACTTTGTCAAACTTGCAAATATATTACGCCTATCAAACTGAATTAATTGCTTCAACCCCGCCACTTTGATTCCGTAAACAAAAAGGACATAAAATTAAAAGAAGAGCTTCTTCTTTTCTCACTCCTATAATTTTCCCTTGCTTTTCGACCACACTAGTAACAAAGAAGACCAGAGCGACCAACAAGGAAGCAAACCTGATACTACGTAGAATAAATTAGTTTAGCAAACACATCAATTCAACATAACACAAATAACCCAACACAGCAGGGAAGCATTGGAAGACAGCTGCTTCAGTCATGCATTCTTGTTTATTTGGCCTTTTCTTTTCGTATTTTTTGGCTGACAAGATAAAATTGGAAATCCTACTTTTACAAACAGCAAGTCCGGCTGTTCTTGACGTCGTTCTTACAGCGATCTTGAAAAGTTTCTTCGCCGTCAGGTTTATCTCATCCGTCAACCCAATTTGCAGGAAAAAAATTGGCGGTGGAAAATTTAGGAAGGGTCCCACTTGACTTGAGATCCCCTTGCTTGTAAGCCACCCCCCTCCTCCCCCCATTATCCGCATTAGTTGAAATAAACGCCCAACCTCGTTCTCAAGAGAAAGGAAAAGAGCAATAGAGTGAGAGAGCGTGGGAACTTGGATGACACGCTTCATCTTTATCCCTCATGTTATAGAGCTACTTGGCGGAAAAGGAAAAAAAAATAACTTCAGTTAATTAGTAAAAAGCTACCGAATATAACCTTTCAGAGGTTCATTTGTCTGTAAAAATTTCTTCTTCCTGCCGACTAAAATTCCCCGGGAAAAATTGCAGACAAATATATGGAAAATCTAAAGCAAGCGCCTGGAGACATTTAAGCACAGTTAAGTTCCGCGAAATTTGTTAGTAAAATCCTTTGCTGAGTAGCCTTAGTTTACAATTCATATTTTTTTCAGAAGAGCCGTTTAACGGAAATTATCCTTCATTAGATTCTCATACAAACACTGCAATTTCTCACGCGGTTGCCTAACTCGTCAAGATGGCTTCCAAAACCATGACAAGGTCTATTTTGCAACTAATTGCTTGTGTTTACTGTTGCGTTGTTTTTTCTTTATCGATTCTTTTATTTTGCATGGTCTAATTGTTGGTGACAGAGATAAAATGTCAAAAAAACTATTCCCGAGTACAGGCAAGATTTGCTCTTCAACCCTTATTCGCCGTGAAGCCCTGGGGACGAGCTCAGCCCAAGGTAGTAAAAAATGGCGGAAAATTTCACACTATTTGCCATCGGAGATGAAATTGCCGTACATGTACAAGTGCCTAAAAACATAGCTAGAAGAGCAAAAATACAACTCGACGAATGACAACTTCTATTTGAAGAATATCTGATAGACTAATCATCCCTTAAATACAAGGTAAATCGACGTCTTAATAATTTTCATACAGGCACATATTAGCATAGACCATGAGAATTTGTTTAGTTAATTGCTACGTTTTACCTAACTTAACTCACAGCTGTACCTACTGAAATTACAATTGCAGCTTTGCTGTCATTATTAGAAGCTGTTATAGACATATTTATTAATTTTTTTCATTTCATTTCACAGTCATATTATTTGTTTCGCCAAACCACAACAGATGGTAATGATACTGAATTTCAATTAGATATAGGGTGAAAAGTAAGTAAGAAATAATTTAACAAAGGAAAGAAAACTTGCAATACAAAATTAAAGCACTTAAATGTAAGTTAAATCAGATTGTATATACTAAGAAGGAGAGGAGAAACGCACATCCGCTTAAAGTTACGTATGACAAAAAACTGTAATTTTGAATAAAAAAATAATTATTCCTCTGTCAAATAACGTTTAAGTTTTACTGTTTGACTCTTTAGGAGTTTTATTTGTTTTCGGCTTAAGGAAGTCCTGCCTGTTGTTTTAAGATTCAAATACTGGGTTCGATGAAAGATCATCGTAGCGGTCGCGAAAATAACAGGGACCGAAAACTGCATTTCTTGCAAATTTTCCTTGGCCACTAGTTTTTTGTTTGTTTCTTCCACATTCTAGCTACTTTCTAGGCAGCATTATCTGCCCCTGAGTAAGCTATTGAAGAGCAATCTGCTCGTAGGATCTGTAGCTCTTCTTGGTCTTTCCTGAAGGCAAAAACGCAAATGAACTTCGCCGAAATCCATGTATCAACCAATTTCAGTGATAACCGAAACTTAAGTTTTCGCCATCTGTACAGATGTTTTACATAACATGTTACGTAGTTTCTTCAACTGCCTTGATCGCGGATTTTTTTGCGGCAGTATCTTCTCCTGAGTGTCTCAAGTGAATCCTTGATCTTTAAAAAATGAAATCGCAAATGAACCACCAATTTCATTGATGACCGTTATCTAAGTTTTTCTCAACTGTTTTACATAACCTTTTTCGTGCTATCTTCAAAACTGCTTCCCAGACTTCCCGATTACGCCAAAAATACAAGAATGGATTTATAGCGGAGTTCATGAACAGAATAGTGTCAGCAAAATACCATCTGATGTTCCAATGTTCTTTATAAGTCACCTGAATTAGGGCGGAGACAGCCGCTGGTATATAACAAAGAAGTATACAAATGTAATATATAAATGTGTTTGCAGCGTGTTTCTTCGCTTGTATCTTGAGATTTTGTTCCGCGTTCATACTCTGTACGGCTTGCTGTTGGGCGTTAATCTGATGTTGATGGTGTCGAACGATTCGATAAATTGCACTGTAAGTAATTGAAGAAATGAAAATGATAAGGCAACAAAGACGACTGCAACAAGAAAAATAGCATTTTTCTTCCAAATGTAAAGCAGTGAAAAAATGACGTTTTTACACCAAAATGTTGCTGCTACACAGGTTGCACGTTTAGAGGTCATCATGTTCGGATAGCGCATGTGATAACGTAGGGCCAAATATCGGTCGACGCTAATGGCTGTCATTGTTTCAAGGGAAACACAGCAGAGTTGAATATTGAGGAAGATCCTTGCTTGTGGCAGACGTGAGAGAGAATCGTTACGAGAAAGCGGTATAAGGGCGATGGCAATGTTAACTGGAAGAACGAGAAACCCAACAAAAAGATCAGAAACAGCAAGACTGCACAGCAAAATGGTAGACGGAGTGCGTAGGGAAGGATTTCTCCATACGGCGGCTAGTACCAAAACATTGCCAGTGATGCATATTGGTATCAGTAGAGCATTGAGGACACTATTTATGATTACAGAGGTCTCGAAAGGTGAGGATTCTTCGTCACTCTCCAACCCACCAGGCATCATATCAACAGTAGAGTTTGCCATCTTAAAATTTTCAATATTGTCAAATGTTTCTCTTCAAAGAGAAACTGCATATTATTTTTTATAGTTTCACCTGGCATCTTATTAAAATTACAACCACCTCGCCAGCCGGCTTAATTCTTTAACTTATTTCTAATAGGGCTTTTCATTTAGGAGAAGTTATACTTGATCATCTTTTAAAATGGAATTAATGATGAACGGTACCAATTAAGTCAGCGCCCATTTTCTAATTGACCCCATTTCACCAGTAGGTGTGCACCCCACTTTGTCAAACTTGCAAATATATTACGCCTATCAAATAATTAATTGCTTTAACCCCGTCACTTCGATTCCGTAAACAGAAAGGACATTAAATTAAAAGAAAAGCTTCTTCTTTTCCCACTCCTATAATTTTCCGTTGCATTTCGACCACACTAGTGACAAAGAAGACCACAGCGACCAATAAGGAAGCAAACCTGATACAACGTAGAATAAATTAGTTTGGCAAAGACATCAATTCAACATAACCCAAATAACCCAACACAGCAGGGAAGCATTGAAGACAGCAGCTTCAGTCATGCATTCTTATTTATTTGGCCTTTTCTTTTCGTATTTTTGGCTGACAATATGAAATTGGAAATCCTACTCTTACAAACAGCAAGTCCGGCCGTTCTTGACGTCGTTCTTATAGCGATCTTGAAAAGTTTCTTCGCCGTTAGGTTTATCTCAACCGTCAACCCAATTTTGGTGAAGAAAAAATTGGCGGTGGAAAATTTAGGAAGGGTCCCACTTGACTTGAGACACCCTTGCTAGCAAGCCAACACCCCCTTCCCTCCCCCCCCCCATCATCATTAACTTTTTGGGCTGCAAGTTTAACGCCCAACCTCGTTCCCAGGAGAAAGGAAAAGAGCAAGAGAGTGAGAGAGCCTTGGAACGTGGATGAAATGCTGCATCTTTATCCCTAATATCATAGAGCTACTTGGCGGAAAAGAAAAAAAAATAACTTCAATTAATTAATGAAAAGCTACCGAATATAACCTTTCAGAGGTTCATGCAAAAGAGGCCAAAAACATCACCAGAATAAAGCCCGACTTTCAAGAGTAGCGATGAGCGGAATTAAAAGAAAAATACTCAATGTAGTCGCCTGTTCATTTGCGTTCTCGCTTCTTTTTTTCAATTTGAAATTGCAGCCAACAAAAGACGTAAACATTTTGTTGTTTGAACATAGTCCGTTGATGGTTTTATGTGGCACCAGCGCGCGCCCTTTTTTAAACATTCACAGGCTAATTTGCATCTTTAATTAAAGCTGGAGGCACAATCGAGCCCCGGGGGGGGTACTCCCTAATATGGGCTATATAGGTATGTGCGGCCCCAAAGGGTAGGGTTTTTCAGCCGTTTTGTTCATAAATTGGGTATCGATTTTGGCTATTTTGCCGCCATTTTGGTCATAAATAGGGTAACGATTTTTGCACTGTAGTCTTGAATGCACTTTTTTAGAAGAAGCTACTTCCTGATGATGTCCCCCTAACCTAATAAAAGCAGATAAACATTGCCTTTAACATTGGTCTAAACTAGGGAAATAATTATAAGGCAGGTCTGAAACAGGGCATTGATTTAAGGGTCAGGTCATAAATAGGGTATCAAATTTTTGGTTAGGTCATAAATAGGGTAGGGAAAATCGCAGATTTTGGTCATAAATAGGGTAAGGGTTTTGGGAAGCGGGCCGCACACCCCTACCCAATTTTTCTGCGAGTACCCCCCCCGGGAATCGAGCACGATGGAATGCAGAAAAGAATAACGCTGGTTGTGTGTATGCCAACGAAATGAATATTCAATTTTTAAACATGTTTTACGTCGAGCAACCAACATGGCGAACCAAGACAAAGCTGAGCGCCTTCTTCTAGTTTTCTATGAGGCAAACAAAGTTCATTTTACAGTAGTTAGAAATGGAAAGAAAACTTCCATGGCGTTTCAAATGTGGAGGAAGGCGAAATTCGCGAAACGAGACTTCTGGAAACTTTTCATTGGAATAGTGGGACGATTTTAGCCACACGGAACAGCAACGTGGTACATTCACTCCGCTGCTAAAACCTTCTTCATTGCAGTAGGTACTAAAGTTACCAATGCAAGTTGTTTCATACCCGATAAATGTTGATATGAGTACAAAAAGGGATTTCCTATGAAGCTAGCGGAGAGAATAGCTCTTGGGGCCAAGTTAATAAACTCTTCCAATTGGCAGTGTTTTTCCCGCATAAATGCTTAAGTCAGTACCACATAGAAAACACACAAAGGGTAATGGGCAAAATTCTGGTGGCAGGGAAGCGCTTAAATCTAGGGATAAGGGGACCAGGAGAGAAGCCCTCCTGGGGGGAGACAAGATCGAGTGGTACCGGGGGTAGCCACCCTGGACAGGAGTCCTGATCACTCTCCGGGGGTGAGGCCCATATCCCCCAGTACAGGAACTGAGGGGAACCAGGAGGGGTGGCCCTCCTGGGTGGAGTACAGATCAGGTGGGACCGGGGGTCCACACCCTGGAGTGGATATTTTTCCGGACCTGTCTCCAAGGGCTAAGCCTTACTGTGGGGTAAAGTGCAGCCAGGGGTTGCACTTCCCTGCCACTCCTTTTATTTGGAAGCCAGACCGAGCAGTTTCATATCCCAGGAACCTAATGAAGGAATGAGACCTAGTCGAGTATAACACCATAATATAAATGATTAATCTTAAGGATACATATATATATATATATATATAGGGGAATAAGGTAATGATCTGCTTAAAATATGTTCTGGTCGTGCTAAATACTGCTACTCTGCTACTCTGCCAGCCCATATTGGAATATGCTCCTAGAGGTACTTAGAACTGCTGCATCATTACATGTTTTCAAATCAAAAAATTAAGAGCATTAATAATTGATAATAAATGCTGCTCCTTTGTACTTAGTTTTAATTATCACTAGGTACTGTAGACACACTGTATAAAATAATTGTATTGTTTCTGCATTATCGTAAATTGTACATAATATATAGTATTACTTTGTTCTAATTACCATTGTCATTTATATTCTATTTGTTTTTGCTATACCTTCGGAGATATGAGCATTCGTTGATGCTATCTTTTGGAATGCGAAGTGAGATAAAGATTTTGATTTGATTTGAAATATATAGGGCACATAAGAAGAAATCGAAGAACTGAACAAAGGTTCCAGTCAGAACAAAGGGGTGGGTGGGAGGGAAAACACGCTGTTGTGAATGAACCGAAGCTCTAAACGAACTGACTGGGAAAGGACAGTGTACGGCAAAAAGAGGAGCACATGTGCATGATAAGCATGTGATAATACTCAGGAATGGAACCTTTGTGGAGTCTAGGAATATATCATGCTACATTACAGTGGACTTTGCCAAAGAAGAAGGATACATTGTAATCAAACAACTACTTAGTGTTCATTGTTCTTTCTTGCACTTTGAACTAGTATCTACCATTACTGAGTACAAAAGCTTATACAAATGTTGCACGTTGTGTGACATAAGAACCAAGATATGATTGTTGCTAGTATGCCCTAAGTGTGCTTTCATAGGGCATCATTCTCAGGTTTATTAACAACAGTTTATGCTACCATAAACTTGAACTGAGAAGTTCGTTTGATTTCTCACCATCATAAAACATAATTACCTCACATTAGCTTTTATGATTTTTTATAAACTGTCATGTCTTTGAAATGATTAAGCTTGTGGTCAGTTTTAGGGTTTGGCTTATTCAGGAAGAGCAGATAATGCTGAGGTGTATTTTGGATTTTTTTTTGTGAATTTTAAAAATGTTCGAGTTCAGTTATCGGGCGGTTTTTGCAGAATTAATGACTGCGTCGGCCTTTAACCTGTTTTGTAAAAAGGAGACGAATCTCCATGTTTGAATGCCTTGTTTTTCGGATGGTTTTAAGATAGAATTCATATTCATAAGATTTAAAGGGGCTAGGACATTTAAATTTTAAGAAAATATTCACTGATAAAGTCAGAAGACTAGATAGTCGTGTTTTAATTTTTCAGTCCAAGAGGCCGGGCCAAGAGGCAACCCGAGTTCGTTTAATTTAATTCTCTATCCAACAACAACAAATTTCTTAACCAGGGCCTGGTTGTTTCAAGAGACTTATAGCTTTATCCATCAGATAATTCACCATCTAACGAATAAGTATTAGGGAAACACAAAAAAAGCGATAGAGGTATAGCCCGGGAGGTATAGATAGCTGGAGAGACCGATAGAGATTTATCGGTCTGCCGTGGCCTCTTTTTTTAACAATTCAACTCACCGTTGTTACTGTGAGTTTTGGAATTTGTTTGTTAAATACCCTCGCATGTAGAACCCCAAAATATATTTATACGTTCTGTAGCAAACACTGAAGAGATCCCGAGAGTTAGTCTTTACTCTTCTTGACCACGTGAGTGGGCAACCCGTTAAGGGCAACCCGCATTACCCTTCCCGCAGGGTTACCCGCAGGGCGGTGTTGTCACGGCGTATCGTGGGAGACTGGAACTAATGTTCAAAATGGCGGACAGCCGCGGGAAAGACGAGACTAAATTCAACCACCTCAAAAGACCACAAAAGGCTAGTTTTTAAAACATTGTTTACGTGGGGGGAGTATTTTAAACGTTTCTAGTGAAGATGACTTGTTTTTTACT